TTTTTTATGTTTTCCATTGCAACAAGTTAGACTTAGGTTCTATAGGATAGAGTTTGTTTCCGGAGCATAACTCAAAACCCATTCAATACTTTCCAACAAATAATGTGCATGTTTACCAGACACATACTGGACTGGTGCCTCTTGCTATTAAGGAATTTTAGAAATTTTTGTTTTTCACGTTTCCATGGCAATAAGTTGGACTTAGGTTCTACAGGGGTGGTGTTCGTTTCCAGAGTGTCTCTTGCTATTTAGGATTTTTAGAAATTTTTGTTTTTCACGTTTCCATGGCAATAAGTTGGACTTAGGTTCTACAGGGGTGGTGTTCGTTTCCAGAGTGTAACTCAAAAACCGTTAAATACTTTCTTACAAAACTTTGCATGTCTACCAGGCACATACTGAACTGGTGCCTTTTGATATATAGCACTTTTAGATTTTTTTAAGTTTGGATTTAAGTTTTAATATAGGATTGGTTTACTTAAGTAGTATAACAAATTAACTGTTAACTATTTCCTTGCCAAACATTGCATGTCTATATATAAAGCGCATACTGAACTAGTGCCATTTGATATTAAGGAGTTTTAGAAATGTTTATTTTAGAATTTCCATTGCAGCTATTTTGACATGGGCTAAGAGAAATGTTGGGTCAGTTACCTGGTTTGGGACCATAACGTGTTGAAGTGGGCGGGCGATATAGATGACTTTGTCAACTATACGCTTGTTGTCATTGACAAAGCCCAGCGATGTTGAGAGTTTTCCATATTTATTTTACACAATATAGCCTGCGGTAGCAAGCGCTAGTTTATGAAAGCATTTTTATTTTCAATGTGTTTTATATTCGGTTTCATCTTAATTCATTGGGCTAAAAGCATTATAAATGGGAACTAACATACACACATTATATTTTCGATTCAGACATGTTCAGTATTATGCGCAGGAATGCAGTTTATCAGGTATAAAATTATTCACGCAGCACACATCCAAACTTCGCCGGTCCGACGGGAGCCGAAGCGTCAACGAATGCAAACAATGCACTTGTCTTGTATTGTTTTTAAATTTTCAGTTGCCTTTATAATATTCTTCACACAAAAAACGTTGACAGATGGATGAAATGGTTTAGTGAGGAATCTTTTGCGTACAGGAAACTGTTCTGGAGCTTCCATCCAAGCCACTTTCACTCGCCACATTTGTTCTGTAATGATTGAAAAAGCCGACTCTTCCTTGTGGCGTCGCAAGCCATGCCTATGCCTTCCTCGTGTCTTACTATCAAAAACCCGTGAAGATCCGGGGTAGAATAGGTCTTCAGCAACCCATGCTTGCCGTAAAAGGTGACTATGCTTGTCGTAAAAGGCGACTAACGGGATCGGGTGGTCAGGCTCGTTGACTTGGTTTATACATGTCATCGGTCCCAATTGCGTGGATCGATGCTCATGCTATTAATCACTGGATTGTCTGGTCTAGACGCGATTATTTACAGACCGCCATCATATAGCTGGAATATTGAGTGAGGCGTTAAACAACAAATTTTTAAACCAAACCAAACCATCTTACTATCAAATAGTTTCTGCTTATACACCATATAGCCCCAGCTTGTGTGTCGCTTATAAACCCCTATATTGGTACTTGCCATTGAACAAAGCTTTCTATAAGTGGCAAGACCTCATCCCAGCTTTGAGTTCTTCCTAGTAAGATGAAGCTTGGACTGTGAGTTTTCAATGCTCTAAAATCGAAGACAAGAACTTGAAAATAGTTTATTCAATAGAAGGCACCATTTTACTTATATGTCCTACACAGATATATTTTGTCAAAAGGGGACATTTTTAATTAGGAATAGCTTTATATAACGCATACATGTCACCGTTTGCAAATACCATTTAAGGTATTATTAAATATTTATATGTGAAAGATCTGTATAAGCCTCCGTAGAGGTCAATTTGAAGGTCAATGCCAATTTAAAGGTCAAGTTCTAAATTGATACATAAACAGTATGAAACATGTTACAAATGCACATACAACTATCATTACTGGTTCTGGGTATGCTTGGTAAAGCCCTAGAGAATTTACGAAGAAACGAAAATGTGCGCAACGAAATAATAAAAGCTATCTCATGAATGGACCATAGCAGACGACACTGTGGACTCAATCCCAACACACACAAAGGTATGTTAACACACAAAGGTATGATCCTGGCAGAAATTCAGCACGGCGTTAGTTTTATTATGGCGGACATATCACTAGACCTTTGATTCATACAAGCACAATGTGGTGCTGGCTCCACACAGCTTTCGCTTTCAATGAAGTCGCAGTGAAGTTAATAATCCACCGTAGTGATTTTATTTGTGTCAATAGCGACATATTATTTGGGTGCAACTTGAGGTCCCTGGATGGGTAGACGGGTTAGCGAAAACAACTAAAATCACCTCCCTAACACGAGTCTATTTTCATTCGTAAAAGATTAACGTAAAATTATTTAGTGTAAATAAATACTTGACTGTTTATCGTAATCGTGCTACACACGTGAAAGTCGTATAAAACTAGATCTATATAACTCAGTGTTTAGTATTTGCAATACGCGAATTGTATGACACGAAAGCAGAAACAACTGTAACCATGTTTCTCTACATACAGACGGACGATCCGCATGGACACACAGAGATGTTTCCTCATTTTGACAACAGACCTGTGAAGATCCGGGGTAGAAAAGGTCTTCAGCAACCACTGCTTGCCGCAAAAGGCGACTATGCTTGTCGGAAGTGGTGACTAACGGGATCGGGTGGTCATGCTCGCTGACTTTGTTGATGCATGTCATCGTATCCCATGTGCGGAGATCGATGCTCATGACATCAATCACTGGATTGTCTACGCGTGAACTTTTGACTGATTTGGAGGAATAAATTGCTACTGACTAAAGACCCCAAATTTTCTTACTTCCGACTTCATTGTGACACACCCACCCAACAATACCCTTCAACATTGGTTTTGAGTGAAAGAAGTTTCTATAAACGTGTATTGCATTGAAAATTCACCCAACTGCGAATCTCATATATCTCAATCAAACCTCAACATTTTCCCATTAGGCGTTACACTGGAGTCGTGCATTGAACCAACACATGCGTTACGGTGAGGTGAGGTGAAATGGGGTTTAACGTCGCGTCCAAGATTATTGCACTTATATATAGCGACGTGCATGTACGTGTGTATGTTTGTGTTGCTGCTTGTACTAGTCCGGACTGATGCCGATTTATAGTGCTAGCCCACTGAGATACCATGCTGCAGTTTAACATTGATACCCCACTCAGACACAGTATACTGACTCCGAGCCGACCAGTCCTTGTTTTAGCCCCTTAATGCCGAGCGCCAGACAGGGTAACAACAAGTACCATATTTTAACGTCTTTTGGTATGACGCGGCCGGGGATCGAACCGGGCGGACGCTCTACTACTAGACGACGGAGGCGGTCTACGTGCGTTACGGAGCCAGCTTGATATTTGATGTTACAGGCAATAATTCCATATCCTGTTGTCAAATATTCAAGTTAACTTATACTTACAATCTGTAGTTGAACAAAGAGACCATGCTGTGGAAAGTATTGGTAAATGTTGCTTTTGCACGTCTAATATGGCATAGGTTCATCTACCTTGTCAACACCGCCGCCACGGAACCACTTGACACAAGGATTCAAGGCACAGCACCTATTCATGACTTTACAATACAACACCGATTCATGACTTCTCGATACAACACCGATTCATGACTTTACGATACAACACCGATTCATGACTTCTCGATACAACACCGATTCATGACTCCTCGATACAACAACGATTCATGACTCCTCGATACAACAACGATTCATGACTTTACGATTCAACACCGATTCATGACTTTACGATACAACACCTGTTCATGACTCCTCGATACAACAACGATTCATGACTCCTCGATACAACAACGATTCATGACTTTACAATTCAACACCGATTCGTGACTTTACAATACAACACCGATTCATGACTCCTCGATACAACACTGATTCATGACTCCACGATACAACACCACAAGCTTCTGAGTGATGCCAAGAACTTCTGAGATGTAGTTGTAAGTTTGGGAGAGGGTGCAGAGCAATGTGACAGTGACCTTTTGATGTTTTTTGTATCTATTCTATATTTATATGTATATGTATCGTTGTTGAAATAATTGTGTAAATAAAAGTTCAGTTCAATTCAGCCACATTGCTTAGTACACCACTTTGCAAATGTGATCACATTTAATTGTCTCCAGCCAACCAAAACATTAGCCATGTACAATCATATTTCAATAGATACAAATTGTGCTCTATAAATATTCTGTTATTTATCAGATGTATACAATACTGGTACAGTTAATTGGCTTTAATGATGTGTCTTAAAGTTATGCCGAAAAAGAAAGACTTTCATTCACTTGTCATTTTTTTACATTTTACATTACTTAAATAAAAACAAATAGTCTACAAAAATATAGTTATTTACTTCTTTAAAGATGTAGTGTTGGGTAAATACGTTACAAGATGTTCATTTTCCATAACATATTTAGGTTGTGGGTCATGCTCAGACGAGAATTTTATTCCTCTATTTTTTTAGGTTGCCCCATATCTGAAAATATTTGGAATGCTATTACCTACAACTGTACCAAGTTTCTTGCTTTTATCACAAAGTGCTCAATTTTTCACGAAACGGCTCCACTATTGTACCACCAGTTTGGCTTATTACCCGTTCCACATCTGCTCCATTATGATCTGTTGTGCTACTTACATTGACAATCCATAGAAATGCAACCTTACATGCAAAAATAAACAATCCTAAGTCCTTTGTTCTGGAAATTAAAGCTGCATCTCACGCCTGAAATGTGTCCAATTCTAATAATGAGTAATGCTCACAATAAAAGCTTTGAGCACTTGTCGACTATTATGAAGATGGTATCGAATATTATGAAGGTGGTATAGAATATTTTTTAATCTGTTCCAGAACAGTCTGCCTGGGAAGGTTCAGGAAAATACCATGGCAACGGATGCTAACCCTGTGTATAGCGGGTGCTGTGGTCTGTTTGCTTATCAGAGGACACGATTCCGTTGGCAAACAATCTCCAAACACCTTCAGGTCTGTGTCACAGGAAGAAGTTAAGGCGCTGAAGATCACGTCCGAAAGACCAGAGGTTGGCACTACGGTGAATGCAAACGCCTCGAGTGAAATAACCATTCTGCCAACCACATCCACGGCTGTTCTTCATCAGAAGGCTGTTGCTAAAGAGTGGGCTTCAAAAAGGTTCCATGCGATGAGTTCTCCAATACTGCGATATCTCAGCATTGCACACAATAATGTTGATGTTTGGGATAATTTACATCAGTACAAATTCTCAATGAACTCCGACAACTGTAAGGGCTGGGCCTCCATAGTGGTGATAGTGCATACTGCCCTGTACAACGTCAAGAAGCGACAGAAAATCAGGAACACCACCAGTGTATGTGACACTAAACATGGATCAGTATTGACTGTTGTTTTCTTAGTGGGGCAAACTAACAATGCTTCATTACAGACAGAAGTCGCAAAAGAATCACAGAAATATCAAGACATGGTGCAAGGGAACTTCATAGATTCTTACCACAATCTGACCCATAAACACATTATGGGCTATCATTGGGTTCTCACTCACTGCAAAAATGTAAAGTACGTCATCAAAATGGACGATGATGTCGTTTTACATACTAATAACGTGTTGAGGTACCTGTTGTCGAACCCTGTCTCTGAGGGGAATATCATGTGCTTCGTTGTACCTGGGAGCAGAAAGAGTACAGCCGGAAAATGGGCCGTTTCTGAAGTGGAGTATCCATTCGTCAGGTACCCTCCATATTGTGCAGGATTTGCCTACATGACAACACTGTCAGTTATCAGGAATCTACACGCAGCTTCAACTTACATCAAGTCAATATGGATTGATGATGCGTATGCTACCGGAATTCTAGCACTTGCATCTAACACTAAACTGATAAAGTTTCCCGATGGACAATACTTTAATGGGTTGTCTAAACCACCCGAACGTTATAAAACAGAAGGGATGTTCGTTTTGTATCGTGATTAACTGGGATACCTCTAATCCAAGGAGAGTAATGTACAGAAAAGGGCGTGTCGGTCTGCAGGTGGTATTGCTAGCATAAAGGACAGTTATGTACAGGTTTGGGCGTGTGTGTCTGCAGGTGATGCTGTGAGCATAAGAGTTATGTACACAAGGGGGTGTGTCGGTCTACAGGTGTTGCTGGCATAAGAAGCGTTCTGTACACGAGGGGGCGTGTCAGTCTACCGGTTATGTTGCTGGCATACATATGGAGAGTTATGTACACAAGGGGCGTGTCAGTCTACATGTGAAGCTGCCAGGATACATCTTCCCGAGGCAAGGGAGTAAAGTAACTTTGAAAGTTCAGTTGCCATCCTTGCCAAACTAGGCTGGAATTATGGAATTATATTTTGGTTGGACTAACGAGTCTATGCATAGTCCAATCAAAATCATGTAACGATATCGAAATCCGGTTCATAAACAACATGGCTACTGCCGTCCCAAATTCGTTCGATTGCAGGATGTGCAAAGACTGTCTGCCGTCAACTTGGCGTCGACACATATTTTCCATGTTTGAAGTTATGTTTGTGATCAAGGTGCTCAAATCGAAGAGATCGTCATGACTTGGCGCCGCCAAATTGATATGAGAGGTTGAATCTGATTGGCCAGTCGGGGGGAAAGAGGAGGGCATAACTGGTAATAGCCACTGGTAACGGTACGATACCAGTTAAGTCACTAAGTCCCTTTCGTCGGGATGATGGCTAGCATAAGGAGAGTTAACGTATTCGACGTAAGTAGCGCCCCGCACTAAAAAGCACCCTCGGCGATATTTGCTAATGTATTGGCTAGTGAACAATCCCAATTAGCACCTAGCACTCCTTCCGATTGATCAACGTACACAAGACTTATTTATTCGCGTATAATACGCACTCGTGTGTTATATGCACCCTTAATTATTGGCAGTTAAATTCTGGAAACATATATCTCTCGTATATAAACATTTCAGGCTGTCAGCATAAAACACGAAATTTATCTTTCAACTCTGTTCTTTTCTTCACCAAAATAATATTCTAATAAGAGCCCACTATTTCTAATTTTGAGAGCGCACTGGGCGCTTATTACGTCGAATACGGTGTGTAAACATGGGGGCGTGTCGGTCTGCAGGTGGTATTGCTTGGATAACGAAAGTTAGGTACACGAAGGGAGAAGTGAGGATGTATATATTTCCACAAACGGTGGTATCGTTTGTGATTTAATCCAGAATTTCATTTGCATCAAACCTCTGTATCCGGAACCCTTCTACATTATATTGATTTAATCCACTTTGAAAGCATGTTGTTGTCTATGTTAAGGATGAAACACGACTCCGAGCGAGGGAAACAGCTTTCATTACCATATTCTTGCGAAATCCATACAAAATATATTCTTTTTAAAAAAATAGTAAATATCTGACATCCAATTTAATTTATTTTGTCCTTAATTATCCAAACTTTAAAGCGGCACATAGCATTGATATGGTAGTGATGGGGATCCATTTTTAACAATCTTACTGCTTTATTTGAAGCATATTTACCAATTTCTAAGGATTTTTTTCAGGTGTGAAGTCTGAATCTTGTCTATGGCACAATACTTGGTACCCCAAATTTCTCATCCATAAAGTAGAATAGGAGCAATATTTCCATTAAACAAAGCTAGACCGGTTTCAAATGATATATACTGTATATATTCGTTTCGCCTAAAAAGTGATCACACAAGAACTGTGGCTTTAAACATGTTAAAAGCTTGGCTGGGAAGTGTTGTTGACCCATTTAACCTTGATGAAAACATCCCAGAACAGTTTTAATAAGTACTAGTTTCAATAACCTTATTCTTCTAAGTCAGTTTTTCACATTTATTACCAATACCACCATTTCTGCACATTACTATCTTTGTTTTATCCATATTAACTTCTAGACCCCATTTATTACAGAATGCCCCAAAAATATTTAGTGTTTTTTGGAAGAAGGATACTCTGTATATGAACATTACCTTATGACATCAGCAAATAAGAGTAACATTATATAGTTTACATATTGGGTACAATTTTCATACATAACATTCATTAATGAAGAAAGAAAACAGTACCGGGCTTCGAATACATCCTTGGCGTACATCACATGATGAAACGAACAACTCTGTTTTACAGTTTCCGACCTATATACACGACTTCACAACAGAATACATATTTCTGGAAATATTGTACATTTTACTTTTGCAACCCTAAGCATGTAGCAAATACAACAGTTCAATATTTTTTCTGTCCACAAAACCAAAAGCTTTTCTAAAATCAATAACAGAACAGTAGAATCTTCCTTTTGGTTTACATAGATACTTTTTGCATAAAGCCTGGGTTGTGAAAATATTATCAGTTGTTTAGTGAGGACGAAAACCAGCTTGACACTCAGATATTAGTTCAGTTACATCCATACATATTCTCAATCCTTTCTCCAGAATTGTTGTACTATTTTACCCAGTACAATTAAAAGTGAGATGCCTCTGTAATTGTTAGGCTCATTTTTACGACCAGACTTGACGAGAGGGATAATCATGCCAACATTCAAGAAGTTATCAAATATTTAAAAGAAATCAGAAGGAAGCCATCTTCCCGTGGTTTCTTTTATACTTTCAATGACTTAATAGTCTACAACATGCTTGTATTTCAACTGAAAACTTGGATCGGTAAACAAGACGGCGCTTATTTTAATACCTCTCCCTATAAAAAAATGAAGTAACAGAAGATAGTCAAGGTGTATACAAAATATTTACACAAAAGATACCTTGGTGGTGAGTTATCAAGCATGACGAACAGCGTTAGAAACTAACAGCTTTAGACCACTAGTCCTTATAATGATAACATAGCAAAACCCTTAAAAAGGGCAAATTTCTACCAGTTCTTATGATACCTTAACTATTGGGCAGTTTGGCAAGGACTATAGGACTAGTGCCAATTTCTAACACTGATGAATTAATAGCTTTGGTAATTTCACATTCAGTCATTACACAAGATAGAAGATCTTTGGTAAAAGGTAAATCTGAATACATGAATGTTTTTTCAACAAAATCTACAATATATTCAAAATCAGGATAGCCAGCCCTCATTGCAAAGTTAACTATAACGCTAAAATAAGTGAACGAAACATCAGCAAAAAGTATATTTCTAGACATTTTTGAACTGAGAACAGTGTTCACCTCATCCCAAAACTTACAATCACTGTCATTTGATAATTTCTTCAGCAGTCTTTCTTTCGTACATTTCTTTCTTTTGGGTACAGCATCTTTTGAACGCAGATTTGGCATTTATAAACTTCTAAATTGTCCTAAATAAATAAACACTTAAAATGCCTGAACATTCACCATCAAACCATACTGGTTGAGATTTGAAATTTGTTTTCTTTTGTTTGTTTGTTTGTTTGTTTAACGCCACACTCAGCAATATTCAGCTACATGACGGCGGTCTGTAATTAATCGAGTCTGGACCAGACAACCCAGTGATTGACATCATGAGCATCGATCCACGCAATTGGGATCGATGAAATGCATCAAACCAAGTCAGCGAGCCTGATCACCCGATCCCGTTAGTCGCCTTTTACGACAAGCATAGTCGCCTTTTATGGCAAGCATTGGATGCTGAAGACCTATTCTACCCCGGCTCTAATTTGTTTTCTAGAACCTGGAATCTTAGATGTACATTTGGAAAGAATATATAAAAATAAATCGGTCAGTTTGTAAGTTGCTCGATCTACGTAATCTCTAAATAAATGGTTGAATTCACTTAACATTTCATTACCAGCTATATACTACTGATACAACTGCTGTAACTACAAATACTACCACTGTATATAGAGTGTAAATTTGTCATGTCGGTATGGCGTTACGCAATATTATGCACCACCCGATGAAGGACAGCCAGTATTCGTTATTTTCAATGAAGATCTGGGGTAGAGTAGGTCTTCAGCAACCCATGCTTGCCGTAAAAGGCGACTATGCTTGTTCTAAGAGGTGACTAACAGGATGGGGTGGTCAGGCTCGCTGACGTGATTGATGCATGTCTTCGTATCCCAATTGCGTGGATCGATGCTCATGATGTCAATCACTGGATTGTCTGTTCCAGACTCGATTATTTATACAGATCGCCGTCATATAGCTTAAATATTGCTGAGTGTGGCGTTAACTAACAAACAAGCTTTTATACACATTCAAATAAATAGAGGATATTTTATGAGTGTTCATGTCATGTTTATGTTCACGGCACGAGTGTCGAAACTCCGATTTTTCCCGAGCGAGAGCAAATCACCCCAGAATACCTTCTGTGTTGTAAGGTACCATGACTGAAATTTGATTCACATTGACTTTTGCCTCCTTCATATGGTGAGTGAGTGAGTATGGTTTTACGCCTCTTTTAGAAATATTCCAGCAATATCACTGCGGGGGACGCCAGAAATGGGCTTCACATACTGCACCAATGTCGGGAATCGAACCCGGGTCTTCGGCGTGACGAGCGAACGCCTTTTAACCACTAGGCTACCCGACCGCTCGTTTCATACTGGACATGCCTTTTCATTTGAAACGGTTCGTCCTTTGTGAGGGGGCACGGGTGACCCTGTCATGTAAGGCGCCGCAATTCGCTGTGCAGAGTTGCGTCCCTTGGGCACGCCAGAAACCTGTGATTGCGGGTTCGAATCCCAGTTCGCCCCGATTATGTTTCTAGCTTTGCCAGCACCATACCCGTGCTCGTGGGTTTCACTGAAGTGGTAAACGACTACATCACTTCGGGCTTTCCTCCCACTTCACGCCATGGTAAACTTGGTAACTGTTAAAGTTGCGTTAAACCCAACTCACTCGTACTGTGTGAGCAGGCTAAATGTTATTGTATGCCTAATAACCCACCTATCAGTAAGAACGCACATCGAAATACCCGAACACTGGGATAATGCAAATGATTAAATTCACTCCGAAAATATCTCCCATGACGGACAAACTAGAGACACAATAGAGTATTATATGTGTCACATGCAACGATGTATTTAGGCAACAAAGCAGTTTACCTGGCGCAGCTGCACTCTCCACCAACAGCTCAATAACCGCGCTATAGCGCTACCCCTGTCTCGCTATACCGTTACAGTGACTCACGCTCGAAGGCAATCTTTACGATCTAAGAGAGCTGTCACGCCTTTCCGATCCAACGCCTTTCAGAGGTGACGGGCCGGCAACGCCGAATTAGAATATCAGATAGTCCCGGGAAAGCCGAACAACGATTCTGCTGTTGGTACCGCCAGCGCCAAATCGATGGAATAGATGTGAATAAATATGATATAAACGAGGCATACCGACATACATTAGTAGAAATATACTTTATGATATAAACGAGTTATTCAGAAAGTGTACAAATACATAAAATGCATAAAATCAAACCATTAACTTAAACCACTTGAAGATCCGGGTTAGAATAGGTCTTCAGCAACCCATACTTGCCGTAAATGGCGACTGTGCTTGTCGTAAGAGGCGACTAACGGGACCGGGTGGTCAGGCTCGCTGACTTGGTTGATGCATGTCATCGTATTCCAATTGTTGTCAATCACTGGATTGTCTGGTTCAGACTCGATTATTTACAGACCGCCGTCATATAGCTGGAATATTGCTGAGTGCGGCTTTAAACAACAAACAAACAAAAAACAAACATTAACTTAAACAGATCACGCGATAACAACATACAGGCAGGGAGTCTACTCACGATGCGAATGTGTTTACAGATAAAGATAAAAACATGACTGAGCATTGTTATGAATATGTACATTTTTAACAGTTTAACTTAATCAATTATTAGTAATTAAACTAAAGACTTAATATAGTATTAAAGGAACATTATTGAAATGGTTTGAAAGTTATTTGATAGATAGAGAAGAAAA